TTTTGCTTGTCTTTGGCTTGATTTATGGTGTCATTATGCTACTGTTTGTGTGGTTTTTCAATGACATTTACTGCACCTAAACTAGTTGCTAAACTGCCCTCTGCCTTCAACTTCATATTTGTAAAATGGTTTTACTCCAAAGAAAAACAACATAAATGGAGAGCAACCATGTGAACAGTGCTCGTGAACAATACCCGTGAACAGTATCTGATACAACATAATTAAAATGCAACAAAAAACTTGTAATAAACTGAACTAAATCAGTTTTACGAAATCTTCATTTCTTCAAAAATACCAGTAAAGTATTGCATAATAAACAACAACAATAATAAATTAATAATTAAAACTATAAAAAATATTAAAATTACATTCTCAGCATTCAATCTGCAGTTGCATCTATACTCTTCACTTCTATACCTTGTAGATTATGCCATGATTCTACTCGCAACAAGTCCAATAATAAATGAAGCTTAAATTTTCTTCTCTTTATTCTTATTCCCCAATCATTTGACCGACTATTAAAGTAGGCAATAAAAATCTCTAAGTTGTGTTTGGTTCTTAAATAGCTAAATTAGGTGTTTGAAAATATTATTTTATAAATTAATTTTAATATTAATTACTTTATTTTTTTGAATTTTTTTCAAGATATTGGTGAAACTTGAAACTTTTATCAATTAATTCAAATATTTTAATATTTGAGATAAATCATTTGGACCAAAAATTCAGTTCAATATTAATTAATTTATTAATTATTAGTTATCTCAAATAAAACATAACTACTCTAGTCAAAAACAGAACCATCATTGTTTTTGGTTAAAAAAAAAAGGAAAAGAATCTCACGTTTTTTCACAGGGTCACCCAACTCTTTTTTTATTTATTTTTTCTTATTATTCTTCCTCTTCTTTTTGAAAAGCATAGAAGAAAAGAAAGATATTTTTAGTAAGGAATACAAGGCTACTCCAACCTCGCAAAACATCCAATAAAACAGTCAATAAAAACAGAATTACATCACAAATCCTTAATTATGCATTCCTTAGGGTTCATCAACCAATCTGTAAAGGAGAACCTCTTGTAAGGACAGGGCCGAGGTGCCAAACCTCGGACTGCTACAGTAATTTCTTTAT